GGATTAGAAAAATGTACACCGGACTGCATTTTGCTGGAAGAGACTAAACGAGAAAAGCTAAGACTAAATTCGCGAAACTGGCTATTAATTACGAAAGCAAAATTATTGAAAAAGATGGCCTGGTCAAAGGTTGCCTGGTGGAGAGATGCAGAGGTAGAGGATGTAAGCTGAGCCTGAACTACAGAACGAAGTTTTTAAATGAATGTGGACTCAGTCAAGAAGAAGTTGATGCAATAAGAGATAGATCAGTTGGATATGAAGTCAAAACGCAAGGAATGGATGTACAAAGGCAGCTACAGTGGAACAAAATCGAAAAGCTGAGGTACAACCAAAGATACTTAACTATATACTCAGGCGAAGTCCCAGAATACTTAAAAGTTAGCGAAGATCACGCGTTAATTGCAAAAGCTAGATGTGGAACGTTAGAAAGCGCAAATAAAAAATGGGCTGACGACAAAGTAAAAGCCTGTTGGTTGTGTGGTACAGGCAAAGATTCAATTGATCACTGGAGACAAGAATGCACAGAAACTCAAAAACCGTATTATCAACAGAGGAAATCCTGAGCGTTGAAGGTGAGAGGCAGCAGTAACCTGGTTGAAAAAAGTTTAAAACAAAGAAGACCTAAAGTATCTTAGAGACGGGCAGTGCAATTTAAAATATTTAAAAATTTAAATTAAAGTTTTAAAGACATTCCAAAGTATATTATTTAAAGATTATTTATTGATTCAAAATGTTATTTAAAGACTTAAAGATTTAAAGATTTTTTAAATTAATCGTTCTAACCATATTTTTAATAATAATAGTTAATAACTAATAATTAATATTTAATAAGAATAGAATAAAAGGTAACATGTATCTAAGTCCTGTTTCTAGGCCCTGGTGGCTGATATAACTAAAATAAAAATAAAATACAAAAAAAATGGATTAGCATAAACGCCATTAAAATACTTCATGTTTTTATATTGTAAATTTAATGAACTCATGAATCCTTTATATTATAAATTTTGATTTTTCGCGGGCTGTGTACATTCGATTTTGATATTGTGTTTTTGTTATAATCGGACACATATGTTTTTCATGTGCTTGCATTAGGAGCCAATGTCGGCTAGTAGTTTATTTTTAACAACAGAAAAGGTTAGTCACGTTTTTGCGTGCTCTTCGATTGTAGACTTTTGGAAAAATGGGTCAAAGAATATGTATTAAAAATGAAATAAAGTGCTACAAGGAACTTGAAATGTTGGCTGTGGTATTCGCTGTGTCCACTTTGTACGCTTCCACGCTTTACAGAAGGCCTAGAAGATGTTGATGACGATAAGCATCCTGGAGGTGCGACTACGTCAACAAGCGAAGAAAACATCGAAACATTGAAAAAATTTGTTCTTGAAAATCGTCGAATATTATGGATGTCTGCAGAGGATGTTGGCATATCATTTTAGGCATGAAACGTGTGGCAGGGAAGTTTGTCATCATCAGGATAATGTACCAACACACACATCAATGCTTATTCGTGATTCTTTGGCCAAAACCAAACCGTAATCATGCCTCAACCACCGTATTCACCAAATTTGGCGCCCTGCGCCTTTTCCTTTTCCCAGAACTGAAGAAACCAATGACAGGAAAGAGTTTTGCCACAACTGATGAGATCAAGTCAGAATCGAAGTAAAAGCTGATGGCCATACCGAAAAGGGCATTTAAGAAGTGCTTCGAGGATTGGAAAAAGCGTTGGCACAGGTGAATTTTATCCTTGGGGGATTACTTTGAAGGCGACAAAATAAATATTGATGAATTAATAAGCACTTTTCAAAAAAATTCAAAATTAACATTTTCCTTGGAATACATCTCGTATTTATTGTGTTATATATTTTAATTTAATTATTAAATTATAGCTTAATCTCTCCTTTAAAAAAAACGGTTGCGCCGAGGTTATAACACCCTTCACAAATACAAAAATTCCATTTAGGAACTTAATTTCGATCATTCAGTTTGTATGGCGGCTATACGCTATAGTGGTCCGATCTAAACAATTTTTCGGAAAATTTTCTGTACAAGCACCTGATTCCGATAATTCAGCTTTTATGGTAACTATATAATTCCGACAAATAAGTAGCTTGAGGAAAGTACGTGAGCCAAATTCCAGATCGATGTCTCAAAAACTGAGGGACTAGTTCGCGTATATATAAAAAGACAGACAGACGACTCAGCTCGTCATGCTGAGCATTTATATATATATATATATATATATAGATTATAGGGTCTCCGAGTTAGGTTGGCAAAAATACCTTACTGAAGGCTCTCCGAGGATGCCACCTGGTAATAGATACCAAAGTATCACGATGTAGGCAGGGTAACAGTAACTTTTCATTTGGGTGTTCGTTGCTCCTTAATAGCACAGCCTTCAGATGGAGTACAGAAACGACTGGATCAAGGTGTCACGCGACCCGCGCCGAGCATCTTCCAGGCTGGGGGTCCTTAAATAGCCCAGTTTGAAACGGAGCTTACGGCTGCACCATCAAACCGGACCAGATAATGCAGCTAATCAGAGCTTGCAACCCAAATCTCCTTTCTGAGGGATGGAGATTCGTAAAGGCCTTCGAGGACCCCGTAGCGGAGTCTAGCATGAAGAAAAAGGGTCATAATGTAGATTCTGTTACTGCTAACAAAATAATTCATAGAACCGCTAGCGAAAAGTGGCGTAAAATGCATGTAGACAGACTCTCTAAATTACATACTGAGAGAGAGCTTCTGAGCGATTCACGAGAAGACAATAGTTAATGTGTCTTCTTTAATTTAATCTCCATCAGAGCAAATTAGCTTATCTACCCCTAATGAACCGCATGGCGACATAACAGCCTGAGTTTTGCTCATTCAGGAGCTATGGGATAATGGAGGGACATGAAAACTGAGAAAACCGACCTAAGGTCAGGACATGTGTAATGGCAAGTAAAAACATTAATGTTTTTATGTTACATAACTATTGTAACCAGGCCACCATGGTAGAAAGCTGGGAGACGGACAAAAATAAATACCGCCTGGTATCAAAAGATTAGTTGCTCTTTAACTATTCACTAGATACAAAGTTTTTGTTATGCAATATAAGTAATATGTCAACATTTATAATAAGAAACGGACAGGAAATATTAGACATAACACTCATGTCGGAAGAACTAATGAATAAGTTGACCCAATGGAGAGTTCTTGAAGAACGTTCCTTTTCGGATCACCGCTTAATGTACGTATAATAGAAGAGAATGTAGGGAAGGTAGAAAATTTCAGGAATCATAGGAAAATGAACTGGCAAGTGTACTAGCAAGAACTAAAAAACATATTCCTATGATTCCCCTATTCCAACCCGAGAACAAAGAGGACCTCGTTAAACAATTGACGGAATTATGCCGATAAGCATCAAAGGTATCCAATAACACGTAGGAGGGGAAGAATTGGGCCCTTGTCTTCCGAACTTAAGAACTTACAGAAAGATCTTTTTGTAGTGAAGAAGAAGAAGTGAAGGGTCTTTAGACCTGCTAATGAATACTTCCTTTGCTGGCAGCTCTGAAAACCATACGGTTGAGTATACACTACACAATAAGTAGACAGTTTCCATTCCTGTAGATATAGTGTCAGAAGATTGGACGATAAGCATTTTCAAGTCCTTCAAATCGCCGAGATCCGACGGTTTATTTTTATATCAGTCCCATAGCCATGTAAAAACCTGATTAACAACTATTCTTAAGGGGGCGTTACAATTAAACTATATTCCCTCGTTATGGAGAAAAGTCTAAGTAATATATGTACCAAAAGTGGGAAAAAGCTCATATACTAGTCCAAAGGATTTCAGGCCAATTAGTCTTTCCTCAATTCTATTAAAAACGTTGAAAAGACTAATAGAAATACATATAAGAAGCAATTAATACAGAAAAAACTGTTAGTTTTGCAGCATGCGTATACTAAAGGAAAATGCGCAGAAACAGCACTAAGCTCAGTGGTAGCAGAGATTGAAAAATCTTTGGAGGTAAAAGAATACATACATCCCGCCTAAAACCATGCTTAGCCAGCTTGAAGATTTGGGCATATCTGAACCTCTCGTGAAATTAATTAAACAGATGCTCATGGGCAAATCAATTATTTCAACGCTGGCAACTTCAACGATGTGCAGATCTGTCCAAAGGGGTACGCCTCAAGGGGGTGTATTATCTCCAATTCTCTGGATCCTAACAATGAATAAAATGTTAGATCAAGAAAAGTATATTGGTACATGTTGTGGCCTACGCTGATGATGTGGGGGTTTCAGTTAGAGGTAAATTTCCGAATACCCTCGGTAATCTTATGCAAACAATATTAAATGACGATGGGCGTATCGTGCGGACTAAACTTCAGACTAACTAATTGAGCTCTCATATTTATTAAGGACAATTTGAAACTTTTCTATGTGTACCGACTATTATTTATTAGCTTAATATTTACGCTTTAGTGTTTTGATAAATAGATGATTGTTAAAGGAAGAAACTAATTAGTGCATTTTTTTAAAAATACCATAAATCGGCTCAGCAAATTTGTATTGACCTCAACGGTCTTTGTCGACTTATTAGATGATTACAGGAGTTTTTTTTTTGATTTATAAAGGACTGTATATAACTATATACATTACCAAGGTAGGGATCGTATTATCTTAAGGATTAGCCGCTGAATCTAACCACAATAAGTACTGCGAAGCTGATAAATGAAAAAAAAAGTTGGAATTGCAAAATCTTATCAATAATCGTTCTACTTAGGATTATAATCAAGGCATTTTGGAGTTTTATTTCGGAAGCCCTGATTTCAAGAGAGTTGTGTTTGGTAGATACAAGAATAGTTTGTGAAGAATATATTTACAAAATAACGTATCTTTAAACACTTTTTAATACTAATAAAGTCAATATGATTTCGATCGACAGACTATATACAAGTGCTCAGAATTTATATATTGCATAAATATCGAAATTATTGAAGCTAGATGTACTTACATTCATTAATAAGCCGAAGTGAGTTGACCCTGTTCCAATGTCCAATGATACAATGCGATCACGATATCCCCACAAAAAATCATGTGCCGTAAGAGTCTTAAAAGCACCTTCGTCATATGCGTTAATAAAATTTATCGCTATAATTTTCTTCAATATGTTAATTTTTTCAATTTTAGTAGAAGCACTTATTAGGGGCACGTTAGGAAGCACAAATATGTCACGTTCTCCACATTCAGATTTTTCGGGTAGAAACTGGTAAGTTCTATGATCCTAGATATCACAAAAAAGTAATAAAAACATTTTTTATTAAAAAATACATACGTTAATACAAGAGTAAAGTGTAATAAATACATAAAGTGCAATTCTTTAATGTTTTCACACTTTTACTAATATTGGTGGTAGGGGGTGGCTGTGCTTATTACACTATTTTTAGTTATATAAGTTAAATGGAATTAAATTAATAACTGGATCTTATATTTTCTCTAGTTTGAGTGTGTATTTCTTCTATAGCTCATTAAAAGTTTAGCACACCAATTCTGACTCTGTTTTTATTGGTTAAAGATTTTTGATACACAAAAAAGCGGCTACTATCCACGACGAAGGGACCAAGTCGACTGTCTTCAAAGAACCTTAGTACAAAGGAAAAGGAGCATTCCAAGAGCGCCCAAAATCATATCAAGGTTACGCTCGATAATTTTGTAAGAATTACTTTTCAGATATTGAATTGAAATGCCCATACATTTTCTTTTTAAATTGTTTGTGAAACACTTCAAGTAGGAAAAAGATCACGATGAAAAGGGCATACTACCTAAGTTGTGAAATTAGAAGATAAAAAAATGTTTATTGTGTTACTAAATGTTACTTACATAAAGGTTCAATCAGAAGTTGGAAACTAAAGGCGTATAGAATCAATAACAAAAAATATTGGAAAAATCATAACATTATTTAACAAAACCCGAATGGAATTTATGGGAATGTTTCCTACTATAGCATTATAGTACAACTAAATAGACTTATACACTTCCCCAAGGATAATATCCTGATTCTATTAATTTTTTAGAAAGGACAGCGCTACTTTGCTGCCCTATTACGAATTTAAAACAAGAAGCGGAGACATATACAATTTTTTGATTGGTACCTAAGTCCAGTATAAGAAGATGTCAGTTGCCGGAATGATTGAAATTCGCACCACACCTCTGTAGATATTTTTGAACCAGAAGTAGGAAAAATAAAATTCTTCAAATTACCATATTATTAAAAGTAATTATCCATACTGATAAAAATTTAATGACAATTTATTAAAATGTAAATGTATCAACAAATACAAAGTTAATAATTTCTGAATCAATATTCCCGACATTTCGCTAAAAAAGAAAAATAAAGCAAAATTATCGTATTAATAAATGCCTAAACCTTTTTGCCAATCCCGACGAAAGGCTCACCTATACCACTGTCATCAAAGGTGAGATCTGGACAAGAATCGAAATCTCGTTTACAAACCATAACCATATTCAATGGTATTTAAAGACGAAATACAATTTTCCGTAAACAACGAAATATATGGATTACCTTTCGGTATTAAAATGCTCCATCCATATTCCAAAGAGAATAAGAAAACACTGTCAACATATAGAAAGCAATGAAATAAAGAGGAAAAATTGAAAAATATAGAATTATTATTTAAAACCCTAGAAAATGCAAATAAGAAAATCCAATTAAATAATTACATATGTATATACAGATTTCCAAAAAAGGAAGTAGAGTTCCTGAGATAAAAAAAATCAAATCTAAATATCTCCTAGGAGATATGTGGGCGGAAACGATGCCTCTAAGCTCCACAGCGTAGTGGTACCAGAGGATTTCGGAATATACTATAATAACCCCACGATTACCTTCCTCCCGCCTAACCGTCGCGAGGGGCGCAATCCGCATACGTGCGGAATTAGCCGAGTCAGAAAAGTCAAGAGAGTTTTTTAAGTGTTGAGATCTAAAACTGCTCAGCTACAGAAACAAAAATTTCAACAGCTAAGATTTATAGTTACGATATAATAAATTGTTACATTTTCATTTATTAAGAGAAATCAAAAAAGTTTTCTTAATTTTGAAAAGTGAGTCAGATAAGTCAAATGTGCTGGAATGAGAATTAAAATCATGACATATACGGCGGAATGGTTCGTTTAGTTAAAAATTTGATCTACGGGATTTTAACCGCAAAGGTCTAAACTACCTCGAAAAGCGAACCGGGATATTAAATTTAATTTCAGACAGGAGAAAAGAACTGCAAACTGTTCCATTCAAGATTTTCACGAAGAATATTATGCCAAGCATTTCCTAGACTAGAAAGTGTAGGTAGATTAATAAGTTTTAAACGACTAGTGTATGGAGGTAGACTTACCCTAGAACTCCATCGGAAATGCGCTAAGGCGAAAAGTACAAATTGTTTTTGAACAGACTTTAACTTGTCAGAATGGATGTGGTAGCTAGGGTTCCATACAACAAAGCCATATACCATTATTGGTCTAACCTAAGTTGTATAAAGTGTTTTAATAATATACGGATCTCTAAATTCTTTAGACCAACGTTTAACAAAACTGAGGACAGCTTTTGCTTTCAACACCATGGTATCAATATGAAGACTTAAATTAAGCTAAAGGTCCATATTAACTCTCAAATGAACATAGTTAAAAACTTGCTCCAGAATATGGTGTTTTATTACATAAAAGGAGGGGTGAGATTTGTCGAAACATCGAAAATGTTTAAGTCTGCTTGCAACAGACAACCTTTACTCAGTTGAAGAGTATGATTTAAAAAGCTTTATTCTATTACTGAGGAGATATCGTTAATAAACAACAAGAACAGAATCGGGCCAAGATGACTACCTTGCGGAACACCTGAAGAGACATTAATTGATCTGAAGGAGTATGCTCAAATATCACACGTTGTGTTCTACTGTAAAGATAAGAAGCTACTCACTTAAGAAATCTCGGCTGGAAGCCCAGCAGATCAAGTTTATTTATAAGTTTCGAGAGATTTACTTTATTAAAAGCTTCGCTAAAGTCTGTGTATATAACATCCGTGTGCTTCTGTTCCCTAAAACTCAATGATACATGGTTTACAAATTCAAGCAAGTTTGTTAGAGTCGATTTGCCTTTATGAAATCCATGCTGAAATGAGGAAATTAATGGAGAAATCAAAAAGGTTATATGGCCACTGATGATAGCTTTAAAAAGTTTAGGTATAACTGATAGTTTGGCGATACCTCTATAGTTTTCAATGTTGGATCTAAATCCACTTTTATGCAAAGGAATTATAAATGATTGTTTCCATATTGAAGGAAATATACCGTGTTTAAGAGAGGAATTAAATATCCTTGTCAAAAGCAAGTAAATATATTTGGCACTATTTTTTAGGAAGCATGAGGGTATCATGGCCGTAGCTAAAAGATGGTTTTAACTTATTTAATTTAAGTAGGACGTCTTCTTCAGAAATAATTGGAGCGTTAATTAAAGTATTCGTACACAGCACGTGCTGATAAGAAAAAGTTTTGGAAGAATTATTACAGTAGTTTGACTTGAAAAATTCTGCAAACATATTGGATATTATAACATTGTCACTTGAAATAATAGAATTGTATTTCATCGCGGACGGAAATTTGGAAATCCTGCGTTTGGTGTTGACGAAATCATAAAACGATTTTGGATTACTTACAATATTCTTTTTATACTCTCGCAACCTGTTGCTACAGAGTATAATAGTTTTGTTCACCTAACGGTTGTTTGTATCACCTAAAACTAATCGAGTTAGATATAAGGTTATATATATATAAATGATCAGGATGAAGAGACGAGTTGAAATCCGGGTGACTGTCTGTCCTTCCGTCCGTCTGTCCGTCCGTGCAAGCTCTAACTTGTGTAAAAATTGAGATATCTTTATGAAGCTTGGTAGACATGTTTCTTGGTACCGGGAGACGGTTGGTATTGCAGATGGGCGTAATCGGGCCACTGCCACACCCATAAAACGCCATTATTAAAAAAAAAATAAATTGCCATAACTAAGCTCCGCAATAAGATACAAGACTGTCATTTGGTACACAGGATCACATTAGGGAGGGGCATCTGCAGTTAAATTTTTTTTTAAGTGGGCGTGGGCCCGCCCCTAATAGGTTTAATGTGCATATCTCCTAAGCCGCTAAAGCTATAATAACAAAAGGAGCAAATGTTTTTAAAACCTCTACCTACAGTGTGAAAATAGTTGAAATCGGGTGGCAACTCCGCCCACTCCCCATATAAGGGTACTGTTAAAAACTACTAAAAGCGCGATAAATCAAGCACGAAACACGCCAGAGACATTAAATTTTATCTCTGGGATGGTATGAGATAACTTTATAGGAACCGCGTTCAAAATTAGACAGTGGGCGTGGCACCGCCCACTTTTAAGTGAAAACCCATATCTTGGGATCTGCTTAACCGATTTCAACCAAATTCGGTGTATAACGTTCTTATTACGTCATAGTGCGAAAATGGACGAAATCGGACTACAACCACGCCTATTCCCCATATAACACCATTTTCAATTACATCTGATTCTTTCACTTTCCACTATGCATATCAAGGTAAATGATTATATCGGGGTAAAACTTTGCGTGAATAATACGTTTAAAGTATGCCACCTTGTGACCAAAAATTGAATCTGCATTATTTGCCATCTAAGTAGCACTATTTATTAAAGAAGCATGCTGCATGTATACAGATAAGGCCGAATGGGGTGGTATATAAGATAGGATTAAATAAATAAAGCAACTATTAACATAGACTATAATACATTTAAATTCAAATGAGTCAGTTCCTGGAACAAGAACATAAGTATTGAGATGATGTGCAAAACGTCAACCAGAGGATAGGAATTCAATATATTAGGGATATGAGGTTAATACGAAGGTTTACAAAAATTCTTACATATTCAGCACTAAATCATTAATACAATTTTATAATTTTATGAGGGCACACGGATGCACTGTTGTTAGAAAAACACGCTCCCACAATTTTATTAAGATAACTCAAATATATGCGATATAAAGTCAGACGGGAGTTCGAGAGTATTGATCCGATTTAAACCATATTTGACATACAGACATATTATTCGTAAGAAAGTCAACAAAGGACACCCCACACATCCACATCTTCGGTATATGGAGGATTGAACAGTTATGGCCCGATTTTGAAAATTTTAAGACTCGAGATGGCATATCTTTAAGACAGTCTTTTTGCAAA